ACACATACAAGCACACACACGCGATTATGGTATGTGCTTAATTAAGTACACAAAATCATCCCAGTGGCCGCTCCTATTAATCATCCTACGTGTAGATGCATTCTTTTTTAATTAAATTAATAAATTCACTCATCACGAACATTCCTTTTCCGTCTTTTGAGGGGCGTGATAACGGTAAGAAATTAGTAGGTTACTCACGCCAATCTCCACCGTGTCAAGGATATTTTATGCCGAAAATATCCAAACCTCATCCCCCACCGAACTCTATCAGAAGCTTGTGAGTTTGGGAAAGCTAATAATAAGTTGTGTCCAAACTTCAACTCTTTCACAGGTGCGTAAATTTGGGACAACAAACAAACGCGATGATTGGTTTGCGGCCAAAGTCGCATGAAAAGATGGTACGTTACTCGCAGTACTCTCTCTTTTACCTTATATCCCACAAATTAAGAATGGAAACTTGATCACGCAAAACCTCAGTCTATCTTTTCTGTCAGGTAATTAATAACCGATCGAAGATGCCTTGAGACATCATCAATCGCCAGTTCAAGGTATACTAGTGTGTTTTTGGCAAACAGAGGATTTGAAGGGAATTTGGCACCAAGAGTGGCTGGCTGAGCGGTTAATTAACAAGTTCCATGCAATCTGAATCCTCATTCCCCGGCTCAGGGAAAGACTCCATTATAACATATAATTATTTGATTTTTGTGATTTAATCATCTAGCTAGTTAACAATCTTGATCTGTGCACCTATAATCAAAGGCAATTTAAGTGAATAAATTAAAGAAAGACGACGTTATGTCAAACGAAAATATACCAAGCGTTAATTCCATTTTCAATTCTCGCTTTAAGTATAGTTTAGGAAATAAAATGTCCCAATTTAGAGTTGAAGGGTGAACCATACATTCATTGTAAACCAAAATTAAACTTATAATATAAAATAAAGGCATGCGTGCAGCCCGCCCGTTCAAAAAATTTATGAAATTAAAAAAAACATACTTACACCATGTATGCGTAGAAATGGTGCAAGTATGTTTGGATAGTGTATTATTTGAAATAATTATTGTAATATTTTTTATAATTTGATATATATGAGATAAAAAAAAAAACCAAGAAGAAGAAATTGCATACAGAAACCCACCTTTATTTAATTATTCCTATCATCCCATGGTTCAGGGAAAACCAGGTTGGGTGACGTATTTGGGCCGCAAGAGTTAGAGTAGTGGGTCTCTTCGGAATGGGGGGACAAAAAAAGTAGTGGGTTTCTTCACAAAACAAAAAACCGAAGCCGAACCAAAAAAGTAAAAGGGTAGTGGGCTTGGGTTCTAGACTTACTGCTACATCAAAGAAATTAAAAAAAAAAAAGTTTAAAAATCAGCGACAGGTCGAAATCTGAAGCCCGCACGCTGTCCCACCGCCGACTTGATATCAGGTACTCTAATTTGCAGAAACCCCTAATTTACTGCTGCAGCTGGAGTGCAGGATGAAGAAAAATACTGGAGCTGGAGGCGCAAGCGACGATGGAGTTGGGGTTGGGGGTAATAAGAGCGACCAACAAAGATTGAAAGGCCAATCTTCGAAGGAGAGGAATATGCAGAGATTGGGCGGGAGAGGGCTGTCTCTCCAAGCATTCGCCAGGACTAACCACTATAATCCCGCTCTCATCAGTATGTTCGTCTGCTTTCACCTATTTTCCTTTTTTGCTTAGGGATTTGCTCAATTCCAAGTCGTGTAATTCTCTAGCTCCTCCTTTTTAAAAAATTTTTTTTAAAAAAAAAAAAGAAGAGAGAGAGAGAGTAAAATTGGCTCTAATTTTGATTCGCAGGCTACATGGATTATTGTTACTGGCTGTTACGTAGTTGAATAGGAACGTACACTCAGATAGCACCTCGTCACTTCTCATCGTTGAAGGACTGGATTGTCTAGGACTTATCAATGGTCACGCCGCCTTAACTTGCGCCTCCTAATAGCATGAGTTGATTTATTGCTCTTAGATATACTGCATTGGATCTTAGTGAAGTAGGCAGGCTTATTTCATTTTAACGTATTAGCCAATTACGGTGCCTTTCTTATTGTTCAAGTTCAATGCCTGGATCAAAATACACCAGAGTCATGCCTTCTGATAGCGCAATCATTCTCATGATTACCGACTTGTATCTGCTAATCTGAACTCGAATCTTGTTCAGATCGTCGTTCTTATTTGACTGGTTGGGCGGTGTGTGATGGGTCATGGTTGGAGAGTTATCAAAACCTAGTAAAATTTGGTTAATAGATGTTACAAAAGGCGATATAAGCTGACATAAGCTGTTGTTGTTGCATATTGGTATCAACAGCGAATGGTTTTAGCCTTGTATGCACATGTCAAAACTGCAAACTAGATACCCATTTTTAGGTAAAACCCTGATCTAATTAAAATCTCACGGAAATACTTAATCTGTACCTTAGTGAATATGAACAGAGCCAATATGTTTTGACGATGCTGTGGATGTCCTTTATTACTGGCCACGCTCTCTAAGACTGGCCATCACCTAGATTATTAACTTACACAATCGCTATGTAATCCTAATCTTTCTCGTCAATGGTGAAATTTGATGTGGGATGTGGTTAGGGTATGGATTGCCTTTTGGATTTTGTTTCCCTTATTGTGTTTCAATGTAAGTTTCATTTGGTAGGATTTCCTCTATAGTGATAAGCTTGTGTTGCTTATGTTTTCCAGAGAAGCAAAGGGAGTTCTATAAGAATGCTAAATATGTTCGTAAGTTTAAGAGATCATTAGGGCAGCACGAACAGCAGATGACTGCTAGGCATTTGGAGGTTTGAATTCCATTACTACTTGGTTTTGCTTAGCTACATTGCCTGCTTTTTCTTCTTGATTGATGTTACGGTAATGTCTAATCCAAAGATGGTTAAGCCTGAAACTGGCCAGTTGTTGCTTCTCATACATGATCGCTTTGCGCATATCATACCTGAATGGCTATCATAATAAGTCATACTGAAAGTTAGATTTGGTCATGTTTTGTAGGTAGCCATTTGCCACCTAGGTTCATATTATAGTTCCAACTGTTAATGCAGGAAAGAAATGAGACTGAGGAAGCTACTGACTTGGACCACAATACTAAGAAAAGGAAAAAGAACAGTGCTAAGAGTCTCAGAGATTTGTATGAAGAGAAGCGTCAAGAGGCAGAGAAAGCCAGACTAGAGAGGGAAGCCTCTATCCAGGCAAAGAAGAAAGAAAGGCAGAGGGCTGAAGCCAGAAGAAAATCTTTGAAGAAGAAGATGTTCAAGAAAACAAAGTCAGGCCAACCTGTGATGAAGCATAGAATTGAACATCTTTTACAAATGATCCAAGGTTCAACGAGTTAGGTTTTGTAGCTGTTCCCTGCAGAAATGTCCGGACACAAATGACCTCAGCTAAGAAAACGAAGTCCAAGGTTTTCATTTTTCTGAATGCTGTATTGTGTTGATCATATGGGAGCATGCTTATCTTAGTACCTGGTTAGGGTCTACCCACTTATGGAATATAGATTGGGATTTATAAGCGAAACAATGCTGCATCTGATTCATTGTAATTTTATTTATGTGTAGACATTCCAATAGTTGAATATCTCGTACATGCTGTCTGAATTGAGGCTTTTGACCTAGTCTTTTGTCTTATAATCTGGTTTTCATGATATCTTGAAGCTTTACTGAACGAAAATGTCCAGTGCTGTTGTACATGTTAAGGAGTCGAGAATTGATACTGGAAGCCCTTTGCTAAGAGATCCCGAATTAGGTTAAAATCTAACGCCAAGTTGGAGAGTTCATCACTCTAGCTGGTGGATTTCGTCATGCATTTGTATCAGTAAGAACGGGAGGAGAAAGGAAAGGAGCAAATGATACATTTGCCCCCAAAAAAAAAAATTTTTTTTTTTTTTTTGGAATGGCGAATTTGAGATTAAGGGTTTCTCACCTAAACTCATAAATCAAGATTCCCGTTCAAATTTTACAAATCATCCAACAATGTAAGTTGATTAACCTGTGATATTAGCCTGAACAATTTGGACAGTAATTCTTCTCTACCCTAGAAAGTATTGAGTGGTTATGTCATATCAGTATCACCGCTCATTTAGCGCCAATTAATGAGAGTTAGGTGTCATTCGTATCTTGTGCCTTCAAGTTAAAAGACCAGGATAGCCAAGTAGCTTTCCCATTTGAGTACAAGTATTTCTACATAGTAGCTCCAGCGGCATGCACACAGATAAAACAGGTAGTTGCATAAGAACCACTGGAGATTTATAAAGATACCATATAGTACTGATGATTAAAAAAGAATATTAATGCAAAAAAAGTGAAAATGAAAATATCTTGGCAGTATTTATTGATGAACTGAGAGCAGATCAATTTTGTCAAAATCAAAATCCTCTTCTACAGTTTGCTGCATTCTGAAAACACATCTTCTTGGCCAATACTTCAAATATTTAATCAAAGCTCAAAACTAAATCAATTTTACTAGAAACTATGCAGTTAGGAACCCTAGAGAATCACTTAGATAAGTACCAACAAAAGTCATAAGGTGCTCTTTTACAATAACGAAGCATATGTTTTAAGTGAACCTGTACTTGGAAGCCTCAAATTCAGTACACCTTCTGATATTAGAAAATTCACAATTTTCACGAGATTACTTCCATCTCTACAACTCTCAATTAAGTAAATTGTGTGACACAAACCAGATGATCAAATTACAAGGAAATAACAAAAATAAATTAATTAAATTCTAAGAAAAGGACCCAATTCTACATTAACTATTTTTCCTGTCAACAAATTGGTCAGGTAAGCATTGGAAATATATTACTTTAAACCAGATGAGACAACAGGTTAACAATGTGCACCTAACTTTATTTGCCAGGTTTGCCAAAACTTGGCAGAAAAGTATTCCAAAAATAGCACAAGCCTATACATAAAGTTACTTAAAGGATATGAATTCTACACTAGTTCAACCTCAAGTCTGATTCACAACCACAAAACTAGCGCAAAAAGAATAGACACTACACTGGACATATAAAATACAAACATATAGAACTCACAGCTAAAACTACTGTTTGCCAAGATAAACATATAAAGAAAAAGCACCTGCAGCCGAGGCAAGCGTCCAAAATGAAGTGGCTCTGCTCCTTCCCAGAATTCTGTGCTCTCTACCGAGAGTAAAGCCATATCACACTCTATTCCCCTAGCCAAAACCTGTGGATTATATCATGAAACCAGTGCCAACATCAAAATCCACAATCCTTTCAATAACAATCTCAGACTGATACCCTTTCTAGGGCCTACCCCCTAAAAAATTAAAACACAACCAAAAGAATAACTACCCATTTCCAGGCCAAAAGTTTTGAGTTACCATTAATAAACTGCAGTTCATATTGTTCTTCACCAACAAAAGTATAAATGCTCTATCATTTTGATTCTCAAGAAGTCCTTAGACAGACCAGATTTCAGTTTCAAGATCACATCAACAAGGACTGAAACAAAACTTACCAACTTCTAAATTTCCAAAATCAACTAAACCAGTATGTTAAGCATAATGTGACATGCTTCACAGAGACCATGATAAGTAATGGACTCTACTAAACTATTAAAGGGTATTGCCTATATTGCTCAATGGATTATACCTTAGCCACATATTTGGTATCATCTCCCCTTCTCTTCACCTTGACCTGTGACCAAAAGACAGAAAAATTATCACCCCATATAGCACATTTGTCAGGTTGATAAGCTAATGCAAATACGAATTAACGAATGTAACTAACAACTCGCACATCAAAACATAGAAAGGCTCGAGTGGTATTCCACTTTTTGCCATTGTTATAAATTTGCAAAAGTCCAAAGATTGTTAAATGGATTTATAAGACAGTTTCTCAATATAACACTTAGAATGATGGTTCTTGGCCATGGTTGAAGAATTAATGACACAGAAATAAGAAGAATAATGTCGATGTATAAACTTGGTATCAGTTGCAATCTTCAAAAGCAATATTACTAGGAAAATCATGCAGCATGAAGGGGAGGGGAGGGATAATCTTGGTGTCATGTTCAGCAAAAATTACCTGTGTGTCATGTTCAACACAATGTGCATTGGTCAAAAGCTTCCCATCACCGATCATGAAGGCACTGTGTATAGAAGTTGAAGAACAAACATATAAAAAAACTAGCAGGGGGTTTTTGAGCTAAGTCACCTAAATGATAAACTGATAAATACAGAAGATTCTTCCACATCTACTACCAAGAAAATCAATGGATGATGGAGACAGTAAACCTGCCTTCCAGTACTCGTATATTGTCTCTGTTTCTGCCAAGGAAGCGAATAATCTGGTGCAGTGTGTGTGCAGTACACCTGAAAGATATTTTAATGAAAGAGACGATCAGCAATTAACAAACTAATCTACATGCCAAGTTCACAAGTGTAGACATGTACCTTTACAACAGCATTAAGAAAAGCTGCATCTTGAAAATTACCTGTTTCAACCTGGAGAAAGAGGTAAGAAAATTTTGAAAATTCCCTGTTTCAGCTTATTATATAATTAGCACTCTAAAAGGAAAATTTCGTAATGTGCTGCCCCAATTACCTGTTGCTCTTTTATATCAAACACATTATTGCCTCCTTTGTTTCCTTTTTTCTGCAGACCAAAGGATTTGAAGGCAACAGGTTGATTCCGTTGGGATCGTACTGTTTTACTACTCCTGGCATCAGCACGCGAGAAATGTACCTCATCTTTTGACGTCCCAGGAAACCTCTGACCAATGGCTTCCTTCTGAACTTAACGACGTACACATCATATTAGTGAAGGGACCTGGTATTAGCTAAAAATTCGAATAGAAATCTAAACTGTATTTCTTTTCTTTTTCTCAGGATGTCCAATTTCCCTGTAGTGAGATGAAGCTGAAACTTATTTCGGGAATACAACTCGAATTGGTTTTGGCCAAATGCCACCTAAATGGTGATTGACGATGAGAGGTAAGGACAGGGGGAAAAAATTGGTGCAAAAATCACCAGAATTAGCAACAACATTGAGTGTTTGAGTTAGTTACTACTCATTTTTTAAAAACAATCACACACCTAGCGACACATTCAAGATTTTCTAGTAGGGAAACAATCTCTTAAACAAGTAAAACAAATAGTTGGTGGCGCATGAGGTTAGGTTTTGCAAAATACCTGTGCGCTGGATTTACGCGGAGAGGAAGGGAGTGGTTTCTTGGAGGTTCTGCTCTTGCGATTTGGATTGATAGCAGCATGAGTTTCGGCATTTTGATTAGTTTCGGAATTGGGAGCTATTAAATGAGAGTGCCGTCTTAAAGTGGTGGCGAAAAAACGTTGTGAGGTTAGGGAGTAACGGGAAGGGCCGGTGGCGGAGGTGAGCGCTGTGAACCAACAGGTTGCGGCCGCGGTCGCCATTTATATCAGTGTAGTAGAAAGTAGAAACTTGGCCCCGGAGAGGGAGAGAACGCAGGCGACTTCAGTCGTGCCTTTCTACTAACTACTAAAGGTAACAAACGTGTTGCTGGTTAGCTCCTTATCTGCTTATGTAAATCCAGTATAAATATCTGATATCGGCTTCTCCCATTTTAAATCGACGCCTTCTCCTTCTAATGGATTTTTCCCAAAACGACGAATTATTTGCAGGTTGTCAATCAGGGTATGTGTGCCGGACCTTAAACCATGAGTTTCGTTGTCCTTGGGAAAAAAAAAAATTCATGAGTATCATGTTACAATATATATGTAGTTCATATCTGACTCGCAATGCATTCGGGCCTCGTGTCTAATTCGGACTCGGTCCAAATTCGCTTATTATTTCCTAATTTTTTTAATATAATTATTGTAACTATTAGGTGGTAAAATTAATTTGAAATCTAGAACATTAAAACTACACATAAACTAGTAAAAAATTCATTAAAAGTACGTATATCAAAAATTTTTCAATGATAATTATATCTAATTATTTTAAAATACATGAAAAATAATAATAAAACATGAACAGACCACTAATAATTTATTTAATGAATCTAATACTCTTTCTGCTAATTACTAATACTTTATTTATACATTACATATTTAAAAATAATACATTTATAGTTCTATATATTAGGGTGCACATATATATATGTGTGTGTGTGTCTGAAAAATAATGGGTCAGACTTTAATCGAATTTAGCCTATAAAGACCCAAACTCAGCTCATATTCTAATCGAGTCTAAAATCTAGAGCCAAACTCTACCCAACGCAAAATTATACGCTCTACCCTTTATATTCCCAAAGCAGTACCCAAAGCAGTACCGTAATACGCTCTACCCTTTATCTTTGGGTCGAACCAGCCAAGCTACAGCCAACTCAACCTTAATTATTTGGGTCGGTTGAAGGGTTTCCATCCCATGAGTTAGGCTTTGTCAAGTCTAAAGGTAGCACTTTTATTATAATCTTGTCTCTGGACCTAAGCCAGCCAGCCCGCCTGCCCCCCAGCAACTCGTCCAAGTTCACCCATAATTGTGGCATCGCCTCGGTCATTGTTTTTAGTCAAAATCTTGGGTAGATCCAGTTTTCAAAAATTCAATAGTTCAGATTGTATCACACTTTTTATTGAGTTGGTGTGGTATAATCTAAACCATTGATTCTTTAAAAATCGGATCTATCCAAGTGTGAGCCTTGTTTTTATAGTGGGAATAGGGAGAAACTCAAAATTTTCTTTTTTTAATATATATTTTTCCTTCTTTGGAATAATTTTGTCATAATATAATCTAACAATCGTGTGTTTGGATAGAAAAATAAATGAAAATTTTCTCGAGAATAATATGGTAAAAAATTTCTCGAGAATAATATGGTAAGAGTTTTCTTTAGAATAATATGTTATTCCGGAGAAATATTATCACCACGCATGCCAAAGGTTTTCATCAAAATCAAATTTTGTTGACTAATCAATCATATCAATACTGATGGTGATAGTGAGATTTAAACAAAATGGCCCCTAAACGTTGGCTATCTTTTCAATAATTTTCACCTACTTTATGATAGAAAGTAATCTTAAATAAAATTATTTGTTTTAATTGTTTTTTAAAAATTCAAAAGAAAATAATTAACCCATTTACAATATAGTTCATTTTAATCCCTTATTATTCCTCCATCTTTAAAAAAAATAATCAAAGCACTATAAAATTTAGAGTGTTTCATAAATGGGTATAAAGAGCAAAAATATATTTAAAAGTTAATAATGCTCATACTCAATATTTGGTGAACTGCTATAAGAATCATTTAGTGAAAATGAAAGTAGTAGATTTTGCTCTCTATTATTTAACATTTTTACCTCAAGATTCAAATTGATTAATTCTTTAGTTGAATGAAAAATCTTTCACTTTTAAACCAAAACTTATGGGTGGTAAAAACCAAAGTTAAGATGCGAAGTTTATAATTCCGAATTCAAAATGCAAACTAATCACCTCTCTAATCCTTCCAAGCTCCTCTTATTCTCAAGTTCATTAGGTTAGAGTGGTTAGGAAAAAAAAAAGAAGCAATCACATAAAATAAGCATTGATTAATGGCAAAATTCAATGATTTAAAATATTCAAGTGAGTTCATAGAAATTGTGAGTAGGTGAGAATAATATTTTTTTTTCTTTTATATACGTGAATATGGTTTTAAAACCTACCTAGACCGCCCAGTTGAAATGATTGAACTATTGATCAAGTAGCTATTCTAGTCAAGTTATGCCTCAAATTGAGTGAGATTTTTTTTTTTTTGGGTCAAAACGGCAACATTTCATTAACAAACAACAGATTACATAACCTAAAGCAATTGCTCCTCCACGTCTGTTTGAACAGTCTCAAGCAACCAAACTGGAAAACTAACTTTCCAATCTGCAACTACTTTTAAATTTAGAACAAATCTTGCTAAGCTATGACTAACAGAGTTGATCTCCCTTCTAACAAAGGAGAAACAACATTCCTCAAAATTATATTTTAGCAGCTTTATATCCGGTAGAACTATGGAGATAACCACATCTTCCATGTCCTTTTCTATCTTGTCTATTATGGCCTTGCAGTCGGACTCTATGATGATTCTTTCCCATCCTTCCAGTGCTGCTTTAACCATTGCAGTTCGGATTGCCAGTTCTTCCTCAAGTTTTGGTTCAGTACACGTGAAGAAGGGACATGCCCAGGTAGAAGCAGCTTTCCCTTCCAATCTCTAGCAACAATTCTCCAGCCTGCTTTTTTTGTCTGTTGGTTCAGTGCTGCTTCTGTATTCAACTTAATCCATCATTTGTCAGGAGCATGCCATCTTCCTGGTTTCCCCTCCATATGTTATAACTCCATCTCTTCCTTCTTTTCTTTTTCTTGAGCTTTTTGGTATTCCTTCTAATCTGCCAGTGCTCTACTCACTACTGTCAATGGACATCTCCCCTTCCCATTGAAATTTGTCTCATTCCTAGCCTTCCAAATTTGTCATAACAGGTTGACTGTGAATGTAATATGCTCTTACCCCTTCTCCCGTGCAGTTGCTTCCACCAACTCAGACCACGAAAGCCAAAAATTTCCTTTCAAGTTATCCAACCCATCCCATTGTATTGGCGCAACTTTCCAAATTGCCTCTGCATAACTGCATAGAAACAGCATATGTTCTATCGATTCTGAGTATATACCACAACATTTACTTAATGGATTGCCTTTCATGCTTCTAGCCTTGATTCCTTCATTGACTGGTAGGATGCCTTTCATGCATTTCCAAATAAAAATGTTTTAGTATTTGCTTCATTTTTAGATTCCATAATACCTTCCATCTTTTAGCATTAACCTCATTCCTACTTCCTGATTCCTCATTGTTCTCCTTCTTATTTCTTCCTGCCATGCTTCCCTTTGCAACTTTATATCCATACTTAACTATGTATTCCCCAGAGGCAGAATATGTCCATAATAGTCTGTCATTTGTTTCCTTAAGACTTAAAGGGATCTTCATAATACTCTCCCTATCCTCCTCAGCAAACACTTTTCAGTAGCTCATCATTCCAACTGCCATCTTTAATCAGTTCACTAACCTTACACAATCCCAGTTATGGGTTTCTTTGTGTGCTCACCTTCCTTCTTGCCACCCCTGGAATCCCATCTGTCATTCCAGATATCTATTGTTTTCTCATCTCCCATCCTCTTTCTCACCCCTTTCTCCAATAAAGGCCTTGCACTTAAAATGCTTCTTCAGCACCAAGAATTAGTGCTTCTCCTTTTCATTTTTCAGATTGAAGCGTCTTTGAAATATCTGACTTTAAGAATCTTACTCACCAATAAATTTGGCATTTTAAGTATCCTTTATAGCTGCTTAGCCAGACGTGCCTGATTGAAGTTTTCTAAATCTATAAAGCCCAAGCTCCTATTCTGTTTTGCTTCAGACAGCTTCCCCCACCTTATCCAATGCATCTTTTTTTTCTCTCTATTACTTTCCCACCGGAACTTTGCCATTTCTCTTCCAATGCACTTACATAACTCCTTTAGAAGTATGTAGCATGACATAACATATGCAGGGAGACCCATGACCAACCAAAACAGTTTTTGCTAAACCAATTCAGTCCATTCAATTGGTTAAAAAAAAGGTCAAAAAGAAAAAAAAAAGAAAAATAACCTAGAGACTAATTAGATAGGCCCAGTTTATAGTTGACTAAAGTCCAGACACAAGACTTCAATGTTATTCCTTTTTTTTATTTCTAATTTTTTACTGAATTTCCTTCAAATTCCTCTCACACTAATCATCCCTTTCTTCATCATATCACCATTAATCTCTCAAATTCCTCCAACAAAATTCCGTTTTGTGCCTAAACTATGTGCACAAATTTGATTTCTTAATGTATGATTTTTATTTTACTTTGCAATTTAATAATTTTCTAAAGTAAGATTCTTGTTTCTTGGTGTCGAGCTCGTCCCAATGATATACTTGCAGCTCTTAATTTTCTTTGCTTTTCTTTTATTTTGCTTTGTATTTTTACTTTTCTTTTAGTTTGTTTTATTATAAACTTATTAGCAAAAGGATTATACTTGCTGTTCTTAATGCATACTCAATGTGTGTGCAATCAAAAAATATATTTTATTTATTGTTATATATTTTAAATAAAATTTTTATTATTGAAACAAACTTTAATCTTTTAAACATTTTTCATAAAATAAATTTTATATTGATAGTTATAATATTTAGGGGCAGTTATGTTGAAAAAACATACTTAAAAAGTTAAAAGTAAAAATAGTTATAGATGATTAAAGTAAAAGTAGTTTTTATAATGATGAAAAAAGAAGTTTATAAAATGACAATAAATGTTAACTCAAATGTTAATCCCAAACCCATTTGTCAGGCTTTATATATAGTATAGATAAGGATGAAAATAATTCATAAAATGACAATAAATGTTAATCTCAATATTAATTGCAAATCTCATCCTGAAGCTTTATATATAGTATAGATGACCATGTGTTTAATCCTCCATAGAGGGATGTACAGATTGTAGATATGATAAAAAGTAGTAATATAAAATATATTTTTTGTTTATTTATGATGCTATGCTTTGATAACGGCCAACTTAATGGTTGAATCAATAATCCGTGACTCGGTAAGTTTTTCGATTCAATGAGCCATCTCAATTTTTTTTTTCGGTACAAAGGAGGGCTTGAGCCCGTTATATATTAACTAGACGAGGAATTGTCACTCCACAAACATCACGGCCTAGAAGTGTTCGTAATGCTTGTGGAATTACTATGTAACATTGGAATTTGACAAAAATTTGAAATATTGAGACATTGGAATTTGACAAAAATTTGATATTCACCTTTTACTTCAAAGTAGGGATGTAACGAATCAAATTATTCACGAGCAACTCGGTCAAAAGTTTGACTCGCACTAGGTCAAAATTGAGTGTGAATTGAGCGTGAGCAATTCAATAATTATTCAAGTCCGGTTCGAGGATTGATTTTTCGGTGGCTCGTCGAGCCTTACCGAGTACAAAAAAATTAATTAAAATTATATATTTAGTTATTACAATTTTACTCTTTTAGGTTTGGAAGTAATATAAATTACTATAATTACTCTTTTAGTTGAGTCAAGTACTTGACTTCGATCATACTTGCAAGAAAATGAGTATAATTGAGCCGATCTTGAGTTTTCGAACCATTTTTCGAATTCGAGTTTGAGTTCGAACTCCATTTCTGTTATTCGTTTGAATTTGAGTGCAGCAATACTTGCGTTCCATTCGGCTCGATTACGTCCCTATTTCAAAGATCACCTGACACCACTAAGCTAACACCATCGGTCGCTACTCGCCAACGAGCTTCATAAATGCTCCCAGTTTATTCGACTTTGCTCCCTTATCTAAAATTATCGCGGGAGCGTTCGTCCAAAGAAATTGACACGCCATATGTCCGTGCAATTCTCGGTTTCTTCTGTGTTCCTCTTTTTCTCCCGGCAGCAAATTGTTTTTCTGCTCTGTCCTAAAACCCGCGAAAAAAGGTCCGAGGAAAAAAGTTATCACAGATTGTTCTGAGAAATGGGTTCGGTGTTATTCTCAAATCCAACCCTGATAATGGCAGAGCTAAAGTATGTAGGCCATTATAAAATAGGAAACTCGGGCAGCCTGAATCTTTATTTTAAACCCAAATTCCATCACAAACATGAGCTCCGACTTTCCAGATTTCCAAGTCTTCTTTCTCCTTCAAACACCCAGTACAATATAGAAGGCGACCCAGAAGAAGATTCTGTTCAACACCTTAGGGTCCCAAGCAGTTGGTTAGACCCTTCGCAAGCCTTGGAGGTAAATATGTTTTGTTTTCTTTGTTTCTTTTTTAATTCTTCGTCGCAAGATTTAATGTTCGTTCACTTTTATGGGTGTCTGTGGATGGTTTGTGACTCAATCAAGTACCCATACTGGGTCTACTTGGGGTGGGGCATTGGGTTAATTAATTATGGCGATACTACTCAGTTAATTGCATAATTGTACTGATACAGCGCCTACAATTCTTTCTTTCATTTATAATTATGACATTTTTTCTGTTTATTTCCCTTGTACGCCTGTTTAAATGATTGAATGTATGCTGCTAAGTGAGAGGGTGAAAATTTGATTTGGGTGTAGCAATGATGGATTGAGCCTTCTGGCGGGCTTATAATTTAGCTCGTTATTTCTCTTTTCATCACAAAAGACGCAAAAAATAAAAACACATCTTCGTCTTGATCGTGAAATGACGGAAATGGCTCGTTTACTTGAATAAATTAGAGGATTAGGTTGCATGACTTGCTCATCCCTTGATGCAGTTTATCGGTTTCTTCCTTGTTTTCTTCTTTTTACTTTGTTTAGTCCAAAGCCTCTGTCTCGCCCAGCTCTTCCCTAAGACGCGCTTCCATAATGCTTTTCTTGTTTGCTTTAGCTGGATGACTGGAGATGACGGTTGATAGTGGTGGCTTGCCTTTCACTTTTATCCTAAATTGACCAAAGACACGTCTCAATGCGTAGCGATTCTTATCCTATGCCTTTTGTTTAAAAAAAAAAAAAAAAATCCATTGTAATGTTACTCCTCGTGGATTCTTTTGCTCTCTACAATTTGTTGTGCTATCCTCTTCTTCTTCTCTTCTTCTCCATTAAGATCAATCATGCTTAGAAGATCTTTTTTTAATCAATTTTCACTCTGGCGCACAAAGAATGGTGATGAAAGCCACTCTTCTACATTTTAAGTTTTTTAATGATCAATTTGTGTGGAAAGCTTTCGGATCTTCATTGAACATTGGTTGCCACGAAGTTTCTGTATTTAAACTTGTAACAACATGGGTTGGTTTCTACATATCATTAGATGGCTAGTCTGCTATTGATATGTCTGAATGTTTTCAGGTATTAGCATTATTTTAGAACTGGCAGGTTCGATATATCTTGCGAACTAAATATACATCTTTATTGCAAATTTGCATGTAGAACAATTTTTTAGTGCTTATTTCGATTGGAGAAAAATAGAGAAAGAAAATCTCTGTGTCACCATGGCATCCCTAGCTTTTAGAATCGAGAGAGAACTGTAACACTTGTGGACTTTCTGGTTAATCCGTCCTCGATTCTATAAATTATCTCTTGGCTACCAAGCAATCTCATTTTTGCTTTGAATAATTAGAAGCTCTTGTTGGAGAGAAGTTGCAATCCATCGTCAATTTCAAATGTTTATGGATTGCTATTTGTGATTCCATGGTTTCCTGCCCTTTATGGAAATATGGTTAATGGTTGTGTATCATAGAAGTGCAGGAATCAGAATGGCTAAGGGTGACTCTTCATAAGTGGTTGGATGATGAATACTGTCCCGAGGAAACGAACATCAAAATTAGTGAGGTTGCTAGCCACTCATTTTACAAGTCGTTGATGGAGAAAAAAACTGACCTGGGCGAAATATTGTTGGAAATGGTTCAGGAATTGGGTTCTATATCCTATCAGGAGAGCTTTCATGGAGCATTTTCATCAGCAAATGCAGCTGTTGATCTCATAATTCAACGGATACAGCAGGATTAGATTCCTGGCTAGAAAGAAGCACATCTCTAACATCATTGGTTGTTGCAGCATATTGAAAGGTATGCTGATAAAATACAGAATGACATTACTGCAAGTATCTGCACCTTAAAAATCTGACTTTATTTCTTGTCTATGGATGGGGGTCTGAGTTAAATGCCATACAATCCTTGACTGCAATACGGAATGTTTTCATTAACATTATTAAGGACAGGTGGTGGAAATTATGAAATCAATTTATCCATTTCTGGCATGAATGTTGTAATTAGAAATGCAAATGACGAGTTACCAACATTAATTTTCTGAATAGTTCTGGCCTGCAGTTATTCTGCCAAGAGGACCTGAACCATTATATTTTCTGGAAAATTATGCCGTTCTGTTACTTCCCAAACCCCTTCCCCCCTCTCCCCAAAAAAAAAAAAAAAAATCCCCCAAACCCCATTGTGTCTTTCAGGTATCCTCCCTCTTTTCTTTCCCCTGATATCTATACCTACTTCTTCTTCTACTACTTTCTACTTACCACCCAACATTGCCCTGTCATTCCCAAGGATGGTAAAACAGGGTTGATGACATTATTATGATGTTCAAGCGATTTCACAAGTTTAATCACCAATTGCAGGATTCCTGACAATGATCCATCAGGCTAAGATTATGACACACATGCCGGGTCTGTATATTAGCGACCTAGATGCATATTTCTTCCTTCTATTATGAAATTAAATTTCAGTTCCTACTTCCTGTATATTTAACATGCATTCGTGTCCGTTCGGTGACACTGTAATAAAGATTGATCCATCCTGCATCCATATCTTGAACATATAAGGTCAAACTGATGACATGCTTATTGCTTAGTTTGTAATTACCTGGGTCTTAGTTAAGAAAGGATCTGGTTTTCCCATTATATTGCTTTTTTTTTTTTTTTAAGTACTTTCCTTTGGATAAAACAACAATTGAAATCTGAAATATGAAATTTGAATTCTGCATAAATAATAAGGTATTGTTTAATAACTCAATTCAATACTTAAAATTAATGGATTCAAATTTTAATACTTTCAGATACATTTAATAATAAAAATTGAACATATGAATCAATTAAGTGGTACTCAATTTAAAATTTGATCTAAAAAATTAGTGATAAGTGATTCATTTATTATTTAATGTAATATATATTTAAATATATCAAATTTAATACTTGGCAATAACTTAACGAATTTAAACTATTTCAAATTTCAATTTTATCATCAATAGATGGGGGACCTTACCCATCATGTTCGTGTCCACCCCAACGAAGCACCAGGTGATGTCGTACAGACAAATTGGTGCTACGACGGTTGGCTCGTGACACCTGAAATTCTTGCTGTAATTCTTTATCTCTTCCAACAAATTTCTACTAAACGCAGCTCATTGAGACATGTAGAGGACGATTTCACACGTAATTTGCTTAAATAATATTTTGTTTTGAGATAGTATACGTGGATTTTCAAGATTGTGATTGAAGCAACAAATGTCCCGTCTTATTTTAAGATAAATAGTAACACGACCGCACTCAAAAAAATAAAAATAAAAATAAAAATGAAAAACATACTAGAAATTTGGAAGTAGTAACACACTAGTAGTTATGTTCTGTAATGATGTGGTTAACCTTCAATTCGAGAGCAGAGATGATAGACCATTCAACACCTTGAAGTCAATGAATTAAGAAGCAAAAAGAACACAAATAATAAAAGAACACAAACAAACACGTGTAGAGGGAAACGTGGCCCGTTTGTTTTCCACAAATTCCCCGAGTACGCCTCTTGTTACTATATTATGCCTTGCAGCTATATGCCATGTCTTGCACAAATCAAAGGAGGTCATAGCAAATCGTTTCCTTCTAGCCAATAGAATTATACTTGTATTCCTATACAAGCAAGAGTTTTATATATGTATATATATATATATATAAATCGTGTAAGTGGGAAGATTTGAATCAAAGATTTCTCACTTACACTCTCTTCCTTAAACCATCTAATTTATCCCTCACCCCTTATACGACTAAAACTATATAATAATGAATGAGTATGACAAAAGTATGGTAACTGAGGCGAGTAAATAATGGGTTTGTTTGGATAGCAGGTTTATCCCAAATAATATTTCGCTTGCATCATAAATACATTTTTCAATTCATCTTTGTATATTCCCAATCACCTTTTTATCTCACATACAAAAAAATGATACAGTAATTATTTCAAATAATACCCTATCCAAACAAACCTATTATACTATATGATGACAAAATTATGGCATATACTATATGATGACAAAATTATGGCATATACTATATGATGACAAAATTATGAGTATGCCTTGCAAGTGTATACTATGTATTCCACGTTTAAACGTGTTTGGATAGCAAGTATATACTATGTATTCCACGTCTAAGGTCATACCAAATCGTTTGCTTCTAGCCAATAGAATTATACTTGTATTCTTATACGATTAAGACTTTATAATAGTGAAGAATGAGCATGACCGCAAAAGAAATATTGTGAAATGAATCAATTAGCAGTGACCATAGAAGAAGTGGTAAAAGTATACACGGAAGAAAAGAAGAAAACAACAACAATGTACAATATTTTCAAGCCGCCGATGAGAAACTCGATGCGACTGCATGGTGAAATGGGAATTCTCGAATGGAAATTGAGACGAGCAATTCCCCACCGCCTCCGAAAAAACAAAAATAGGTGTTCATTTTCTTGTGGCCATGGATGATTACAGCACTCACAAGCATCCTCATCCCAATGAGATGTAATACGTACAACTATCTTGATGTTGATGGTGATGTTGATGGTGATGGTGGGGGGTTCTAGATTTAGATGGATACTACTCAGATTAAACATTACTAGTAGTACTTGTTTGTCAAGGCCAGCCATATTCCTCTAAGCCATGGCAACCAAAGAACAAGTGGTAATAGTAGTGGGAGCTGGGCCGTCGGGGCTTGCAACTGCAGCATGCTTGAACAACCTTTCCATTCCAAACATAGTCCTTGAGAGAGAAGATTGTTTTGCTTCCTTGTGGAAGAAATATTCCTACGACCGCCTTCATCTTCACCTGGCTAAACAGTTCTGTCAACTTCCTCTCAAGCCGTTCCCGACCACCTACCCGACTTACGTGCCCAGAGACCAGTTCTTGCGTTATTTAGACGACTACGTCTCCCATTTCAACATTTGTCCCTTGTACCAAAGATCGGTGGAGTCGGCGCGGTACGATGAAGCCGCCGAAGCATGGATTGTCAAGGCGAGGAATTTGGGTTCTTCCGATTCCGAGGAGATGGAGGAGTATTCCAGCAAGTGCTTGGTGGTGGCCACGGGAGAAACCTCCGATGCATTCATCCCGCAGCTTGAAGGTCTCAACACTTACCTGGGCGAGGTCATCCATAGCACCCGATATAAAAACGGCAAGTCCTATGAAAACAAGAATGTTTTGGTTGTTGGGTCTGGAAATTCTGGTATGGAAATTGCATTTGATCTATCAAACTACGGTGCGAAGACTTCCATCGCCGTCCGTAGCCCGGTAGGCCACTCTCTCTCTCTTTTTTCCATTTTATTTATTCATTTGGGACGTGACGACATAGGAGTATTTAGTTACCCTGGTGAGTAGTATTGGATTGCTTGAATGGGTTGGTTGTGATACATGCAGCTTCACATTCTGTCAAGGGGAATGGTATACATAGGACCGGTTTTGTTGAAATATTTTTCTCTGAATACGGTTGACTGGCTGGTGTTGATGCTGAGCAAGCTGTGGTATGGAGGAGACTTGTCCAGGTACGGAATCAAAAGGCCAGAGGAAGGTCCCTTCACCATGAAAGTTAAGTATGGCAAATACCCCGTCATTGACGTTGGAACCTGTCAGAAAATCAAATCCGGCGAGATTCAGGTGCAGTATTGCGCGATGATTTTAATACACTTTCATTAATTGAACCGTTTTTACCGCGGTACAATAGTTAGATGAACTGATAGCGCGTGGACTTTGCAAATTAATTCTGCTTCTAATTATTTTGATTTCATATGCTATCTTTCAAGGGAGAAAAAGGGGCTCTATAGAAAAGGAGAAAAAAAAAAGAAGAAGGGTTACTGCTATTTTAATCATATTTGCAGGATTGATGTGGATCAGTGGGCACGTAGCCATCTTGCTTTGCGTGTATGATTTCCATTTTCCAGTTCTGATACATGTCAACTCATGTAGAGTGATGATACAAGTATATATTCTTCGAAATTCCTTCAGTGTGAAGCATGCATGTTGTAAAATCTTATAATTTTGATACCATAAAATAAATAAATAAACAGGTACTGCCGGCAGTAGCAAGTCTTGGAGGCAATGATGTGGTGTTTGAGGATGGCAAGTCTTACCCATTTGATGCTGTTATTTTTGCAACTGGCTTTAAAAGATCGACGAATAAGTGGCTCCAGGTACAATTATAATTCGCCTTGCACAGCTGCTTTTTGAACTTCTTGCCCGTCTTCCTTCAACTTGCCATCTTCATAATATTTGCCCCACCTCCACCTGGCCAGGAATGCGTACGCACTGGAGAACAATTTATAGTAAAACCCTGATTGCTCCATCCAATTACTGATTAGTACTTATTTTTCTTTTTTTTTGTGTGCGCGTCTACTGGCCTCAGGGGGCTGATGATCTCCTGACTGACGACGGATTTGCAAAACCTGCCTTCCCTAACAACTGGAAGGGTACCAAGGGATTGTACTGCGCTGGTTTGGCAGGAAGAGGATTGTATGGAGCTGCTTTGGATGCCCAAAACATAGCCAATGATATCAAACGGGTTCTACAGTTGTGACTTCTCGATATCCAGATTTATAATTACAACATGTTGCAAAATTTGTTAGTATAAGGTTTACAGAGAGTGAAACCGTTAATGGTTTTGGGAAAGACATCAAGACTTACAGATAATAAGAGTTTTTTTTTTTTATCAAAATGACAACACTTTATTAATATTCTAACCAGATTACATAAAGGGTGGGCAACTGCCCTTACAATCTGCTTGAACAAGCTCAAGCAACCAACTTGAGAAGCTATCTTTCCATTCAGCTGAGCATTTCATATGTATCGCCATCTTAGCTAATGTATGACTGATAGAGTTGTTACAAGTCAACCCCTTTTTAGTGAAGGTAAAGCAACATTTATCAAAGTTGGATTTTAGTTTCCTGATATCAGACACCGCTGTGGACATGATTACATCATCTTCCTCTCTATTAATTTCATTCACAACCTGCATACAATTTGTTTCAAATTCCACTCTTCTCCACCCTTGTTGTTTCGCTACTAGCATAGCAGTTCCCAATATCCTATCAATCCTTTCCTTCACCTCTCCCTCATTCTCCCAATTATTACTCCAGGTCCACGGAATTCCTTCACATCCAACATCGACCAGTTCATTACTATTTATGAAAGAGTTAAAATCCTGAAATCTCATTTCAACCCTTTGTGTACCTCCCTATTTTTCATTATTCGAGGTAATGTCATTAAAATCTCCCATTATAGTCCAGTATTTACCCCACGGTATATTCTTTCTCGTTACAACCTTCCATTGTTCTCTTCTAACCTAAACATTTGAACTAGCATATCTATCTTAGCTTTACTGTCCTCTATGAGCAATTCAATAGTGAAGCTTGTAAACAACACCTTTTTCACCTACAGCTCCCTTTTCCATAATACCGCCAAACCCCCAATCCTACCAACTGGATCAACCACAAACACATTGTCAAATTTAATCCACTGTTTCACACTGTTCAAGTAGTTTTTTTTCTTTTTTTGTTTCTGACAAGAATACTAGTAAAGGAGAATGGAGTCTAATGACTTCTGTCAGTTGGGGAACTGTCAAGGG